GGGGGGACCCGGGGGAAACCCCCGAGTCTCCTCTGTTCTTACAACCCCAAGGCAAGAACCCGCGGTAGGTGCAAAGTTATATCGGAAATTTTCAGGCAGGTTAAAGAGCCAATCTAACCAGTGTTGCTCTCTTGCTAATAGATTTGCCTTATTTTCCTCTTGCGTTAATTCAGGATTCTGCTCCACGTATTCAATAACAATAAAACCAAAGAACTTAACACCGTGTTTATCAATTGCTCTTCGTAGATGTACATTAGAACTGTTAATAATATGGTCCATCATACGTACTCCCAAATTTACTGAACTCCCAATATAAATGGCTCCAGTAACATTACAAATAAGGGCGTAAATTCCACTTAAACCGACAAGCGATTTTCTAGCTGAAATCAGATTTTCAGTTGAATCTAATCCTGTGATTTCTAGAACTCTCGGTAAACTCTTCGCATGTTCGCAGACATCCGAAGCAGAAACCGGGTCCGAATAAAGAAACATTTCAAATGAACTAAAAAAGTTCCCAGTATCTAGATAAACTAAATATTGGATTAATAAATCAAAGAAGTACAATAATTCTAGGTTTGACATGATGGTATGTTTAGAAAATGGTAGGAGGTTAATGTAATATAACTAGTTCCTAAGTAGTTATAGCAGGAACAGTGCCCCTGACTTTCTCACTTCATAAGAAGGATGCTGCCGTCCAAGCCTTTTCCTCTTGAAGACCGTTTAATCTTGACATCCTTAGTCACTTATGAATGGACATCAACCAGCCACAATAATAATATGAATCCCCCGATAATACTAAAATCGGGTTACCCCGCTGATCGACAAAATAGTCTTATTCAATAGGCACCTTTAGGTGAACCCTCTTTGGTTCGGATGAGTAGCCTTCCGGGCATGAACATCCAATCTCTGTACCTTTTAACAACCCTAATTTAAGGTCTAGTAAAACCGAGAATAAATATTACATTGTGGCCAAATATAGTAAATATACTGTCAACAATAGATCTATAATCATCTCATTATAAAGGGTTATGTTCCAAAATAAGCAGTTCATGAGTTACACACTGTGTTCAATTTCCTTTTTTTGTTCTTAATTTCAGTTAACATAATACAAACTCATATTAAAGGATCACCTATACTCAAGTCTGCCGCCTTTCAACGTCGATCATTTGTACCTCAAATATCCTTTAGACTATCCTAAGAATACAATCAATTAATTAATAGGTACTAATCGTATGCTTACCATTACAGTAAGCCATTCGCTTTTTGAGTTATCATTTACCCCCTAGCCGATATAGACACTTCTAGTTTACACTGTTATAATCTACCTCTATCCATTTTAGAGAATCACTCCTGAACAGATAGGAGCTATGGGGCTTACCATGTTCCAGATTCAACACAAGTTCAATCTCCTTAGGTCCCTCCTTTACTTCGGTGGTTTAGCTCTTTTACCTACGCCAGCATAAAAAACGTAGGCCCTCCACTATGAAGAATCCAACTGATTAACTATCATTTTTAACAAAGCTTACGGTAGATTCACTTTCGTTGACCATAGAGATTTTACCCTAGCACTCGCAAGCGATATGTTACATTGTCCCAAGGAGCTTCAGACATTCAGATTACTCCAAATGCATGCCTTGGTAGGGTCTGTTCAAAAGAGAAAACAGGGGGATCTTACACCGCCATTGTTGAATCTGACCTCACGTCGCACTTATGCAAAAGGTACACAGTTACAAATCAAAAGATTTGATTCTGTTGCTTATAGAACTACCGATTCAGGATCTATTTCACCAGTTATCTACTTACTTTTCATCTTCAGGGATATTTTCTGTACCCCCGGACTATATCATCATCCCAATAGGGAGCTAGCATGTAGTCTCTGAGGTTCTTTAAGAATTACCTGCTGATAGTCCAATTCAACCATTATCACTTGATATAGTAGATTGAAATAATTGGAGTTTCCAGCATACAGCTTAGTATAATGATGCTAATTTCTTAGCATCCGGAAATATGATTCATTCTATCTATTAATTAATTGGAGTATACGTTACGAGATAACCTCTGAATAATTGGCCTGTTTTAATACATTTGAGCAGATGATTTTTATTAGCTTGCTCCGCTTTGCTAGTAGCGTTTAAACTAGGATACAGAGTGATTAATGTTCTAGACTCATCATAAAAATAGACTGGTTTATATCTATGTTGAGAAGCATTAATAGATAATAGACGTTGTGCTTCAGACAAAGTCGCACCCTTATTCACAGGTTCTTTACCCTTATTTGCAGCACTAATCTTAGCTTTAGCATCCTCCGTAAGATGATAACCTAAAGGTGATCCCGCTGTGGATAAAAAATTATAACGTAAAGAAGCGTGCAAAGCGAAGAGCCAATCTAAGTAAAATTGCTCCCGCGATAATAAGTTTGCTTTATTCTCCTCTTGTGTTAATTCTTCGTTAATTTCTACTAGTTCCACGACAATAAACAGAAAATTCATAATTCCATACTTTTTGATAGCATTTTTTAAGTGAACATTTGAACTATCCGTTATATGATTTCTAATTCGGTTCGCTAAATTAATAGACGACCCGATATACATTGCTCCTGTGACGATATTCTTTACACAATAGATACTCCCTTTTAAACGTTCATAAGCCTCGACCAGTTGTTCAGTTTTATGAAGAGCCCTTCGGGGAAAATTCCATAACTGCTGGTAGTTCTTCAGCAGCATCACAGTAAATAGTATTTACAAAGAAATCAAAGATTGTACTTGTAAATTCTTTACCCTCAATATTGAAGGTAGTTACTTGGAATAAATCTACGTAAGCCCCTACTTCTGAACCCATTAACAGGAATAGTAAAACCCCAATCAACGCCCCAAAGTAAAGTAACGTTACGAAGATAATCCACTTTAAATAAATAGCGGTAATCCGAAGGGAAGATGCGGCAATCGACAAGGCCGACTTGAATAAGAAATATACTTGTGTTTGTGTCATATTAGGTGTTTATTACCTGTTTACGTCGTAGGTTAGACGGATTAATTCGTATTAATTAATGTATAGAATGATCTCTTTTGTTTTTTTCAAGGATACTTTTCTGTACCCCTGGACTATATCGTCATCCCAATAGGGAGCTAGCATGTAGTCTCTGAGGTTCTTTAAGAATTACCTGCTGATAGCCCAATCCAACCTTTATTACTCGAGAGTAGATTGAAAATTAGGGTTTTCCAGCATACAGCTTAGTAAAATGGTGCTAATTGCTTAGCACCGGGGACTTTTGATGTATTCTACCAATTATATTGAATATTCCTTAATTAATTGGATTATACGTTAATAGATAACCTCTAAACAATTTTCCTGTGTTAATACACTGAAGCATATTAGTTTTGTTTGCATTCTCCGCTCTGCACGTTGCATTCAAACTTTCGTACATAGTGATTAAATTCTTTGATTCATCATAGAAATAGACTGGTTTATATCTGTGTCGAGAAGCATTAATGGATTTCAGCCGTTGCTCATCCGATAACGGAATACCTAGAAATGCAGCACGGATTTTCGCCCGTGTCTCTTCGGATCTTTTAACACCAAGAGGTGAACCAGCCGTATGCGAAATATTGTATCGGGGGTGTAGTTGATCCAAATATGTCTGCTCCATGGCTAGAATTAAATCACGATTCTCCTGTACAGATAAATCATAATCGAATGTATAAACCTCTAAAACAATAAATATAAAGGACTTAATCCCGTGTTTTTTAAACGCGTGTTGAAGTGGGATATTTGAACTTTTCCCTTTAAGATGCTCATTCAATCTTCTAGCTATATCTACGCTACTACCCACGTATACAATTTCACTCGGCTTCGCCGGCCCCGAAGGGGAGTAATACTATTTTGAAATGCATAAATTCGGTTTCGTTAATGCCTTAATAATTGTTGAAATTACCAGAAGATCTTCTAGATTTCTGAAAATCATTACAGGTGTTACTGAAGGAGCAGTGTTAGAAGAAGAAACTTCCTCCGTGTTTGAAGTAGAATAATGGCGAAGAAAATTTGAACAAACGGAATGGCCCGTAATTAGTTTCCCGCTGGGGAGTAAAACACTAACAAATCTTGGACCTAATCCGATACAAGTTTTAGTAACTAGTAAACCTTTATAGACAAATGTTTTCATTAGAATTTATTGTATAAAATCATCGTTTTATTAAAACACTACAATAAAACCATTATCACCAAAAAGATTGTGTGAATAAAAGATTATTATAGTAAAGAGTATAGTAATTAGAATACTATAGTAAAGGGAAAAATAATTAGAATTTTGGTTTAGAATAAAGAGGCCCCTCCGGGGATTGATCTTTGGGTTATAAGGAAAAATAATGCTTGTTTAGATTAATAGTTATTATCGTATTTAAATAGCATCACGGTGATCCTCACGGTACTCTCCACTATCGCTTAATGAATCATATTTAGTCTTGGAAGATGGTACTCCCTTCAGACAAGTTTGCTCTCATCTTACTTAATTACTCTTTTATTATTAGGCAGTACAGGACTATCACCTTCTTTGGTTTATTATTCCACTTAATTTCTACGCCTCCTGAGCCAGGAATCAATCTCAGGCCAGATAAATTACCCCTGTCCCGGGGTGAGTAAAGACTACCCTAGATTCGCTCATCACTACTACTAGGATCTCGGTTGATTTCTTTTCCACCTCTTACTCAGATATTTCAATTCAGAGGGTTATTATATTTGGTTTTCCTGAGGAATTAGTAAGTTGTCAGTTTTTCACCTACTTTTTGACTATATTGCCTCCTTTTAGATACATTAGCTAGACATCTTCGATAATTCCTTTTTACCTTGGTAATACATAACATATCATTATTATATCCTTTTTCTTACTCCTCTTTTTATCAACATAGCTGAAGGCACTATATTTACTCGAATTTAACGGGAATTAAATACCACACTTTTTGATTTTAGGTTAATGATTGGGGATTTCGAATAAAAAGGAAGGTGAATAAGACTATTGAGAATCGAACTCAAATCCCACCCTTATCAAGAGTGTACTTTACCCTTAAGTTATAGTCTTCCTACGGGGACCGCAACAACGGGTTTTCCATTTAAAATGAATCACCGCCCACCCGCCCCGCGGAGCGGAGGCTTTAAATATATCTACGCTGTTATTGATATGAAGACCGGGGAAGTTTTATCACACTATTCTTTTGATACTAAAATCAATGGTTCTAATTTTACTCCCCGGCCCCGGGGTAGAGAAGAATTTATCCCTTTCTATATTATACTCTTCATCACTATTGCTTCAGTAAACCCAATTAATATGGAGTCAGTCGAAGATTTCTTTAAAGCATTTATTAAAACAATTGAAGTATCAGATGATGGGCGTAATTTAACTGAATTACCAGGTTTTCCAGTAGATAGTGATACACCCACAGATAACTCTTAATCATACATTATTTGATAATCTCCCTCTTTCCCTAATTCCTTATCATAAAAACCCCATTATACTGAATCTCTCACCTTTCTTTGGGCTTAGATGGCGCTGACCCGGTGTTCTTCTGGAGGCTAGATCCACCCCCTCTCCCAAAATCCCTTTTTTCTTTGTTTAATTTGTCTGATTTGAGGCGCTTCTGAATAGAATAAACAGTGTTTTCGTCTCAAGGTTGAGCGGATTTGAACCACTATCAGATGTTTTGGAGACATCTGCTCTACCATTGAACTACAACCTTAGAATGCCGACTAGAGGAGTTGAACCCCTACCACCTGATTACAAATCAAGTACTCTACCAATTAAATTAAATCGGCGTCCCCACCGCCCCTTACTCACACAACAACCGCGGGGGGGTATAATCCACCAATTTCTCTTTTTAGATAAACTATAACATTATTCGCCCTCTCCCCCATCCCACCAAAGGGCCCCCATACTATGTAGGATATGCTTGATATTTAACTATCTAATCACTGGCCTATTAATACTCCGCTCCGCGGGTTACATAGTAACCGAGATATAACTATACTGCAAGTAGGGTGATTTGAACACACATCCTCTCGCTTGGAAGGCGAAGGCATTTCCATTATGCTATACTTGCTGGAACACATTGGATATAACTGTCATTATGTTATATTTGCTTTCTTTGTTCGAATGCCTACCCCCTAAAAGGTTAATTAATTGAGGTTGAATGCAAAGAGTAGCTCATGTTTATAAGATATATGACTGACACTGATCCTCCTCCCCGAGGATGCCCCTTCCGATGGATTCCTCCCCCCCACCTTACGAAGGGGACAGGATTCTCAAAGAGAACGTAGGACCTAGACTTTTCTTATATACGATTTTTCTTACTCTTCATTTTTATCCCTCCTCCTCCATACCAAAAACCGATTTTTTGGATCTATGGTGTAATTTTCACATGTTAATAAATACACGCATGAAAGTTAATGGTTTAAAGTTGTATACCCCACACTCTGGTTTGGCAGATGATTTTAAGGTATTGTGTCCTGTTGCGCGATCTTATTTTTCTTTGGTTAATTTGAGGGGGGGACTCTAAGAAGTAGTTAATTATATTATACTGACCCCCGAGGGTCATCCTGAGAGGCCCCAACGTTCTCGGTTTTTGTTTCAAAACAAAGTGGAGAATCCACAACATCGTTGTGGCAGGGGGCGTTATAACTATGTAGTGCTGGACGCTATATTCACTCTTTATTGGCGAGGGAGTATTCCTATTATTTTACCACTACCATTCTCGTTAATTGTAATTGTACGAATAACGGTAGAATATCTTTTGATAATAGATATAAAAGAACCATTAATAAGAAGAATCCATATGATACTTGGTTAAGGAAATAAAATGGCACTAATTGTGGCATTATGTGAGGAGTAGGTATTGGTTAAAGAATTATACTATATTCCCTCCACTCCCTCTGGGGTTGGGCCCGGAGGGGAATGATAAAAATCTCTTAAATCTGTTGGGAAATTCTTCTTTAGTTTCAGCATAGCTTACTTACAGATTCCACCGGCGTGAAGGTAAAGAATTGGAATCCAAGGCAAATTCTAAAACGGCGTAGAGTTAATTTTGTTCTGCCCGTTAAACCCTCGAACATTAAGGAAAGCTGCCCCTGGCCGGAGGCCGGGGTTTTATTTGTTAATAAAAAGGCGTCGCGGAGGAAACCCACCCCAAACAGATTAAACTCATCTTTGGAAGATGTACCCAAATTAGAGGAAAAACCCAAAGGCCCGGATCGAACTCGCGTAGGGTCTTTAGGAAAACGGTTGCTGCTAATTTCACTAATATTGGATAGAAGTTTAACTCCCCCCCTCTTCTTAACGGTGGGATAGAGGGGATGCTACGGGATTTTACTTACCCTACCAAAAAGGAGCGGGTCGAATTGAATAATCTACAATCATCTATGGCGAATTGTTGAGAGATAGTAGAATCGAACTACTACCATGTACGTGTAAGATACACACTCTACCAATTAAGTTAATCTCCCTATTCTGCAAAGCAAAAATCCCCACGCAGTGGGAACATCTCATTCTTACTTTTATTCAATTTTTCTTCTTTGTGGAGGGGGCACGGTGGGGGAAAGATGGGTCTGGTATGAGTAAGTTTATGGAGACACGCCCCATACTTAGCATGTTGCGTTATGATTTATTAATGTGATTCCGTAATCGTGGTAATCCCATTGTCGGGTTGGGGGTTGGGAACACTGTGATAATATACCCCGCCTCCCCCGGTTTTCTTAATAAAAAATAAAGGGGTAGGGTTCTGGTTTGTGGGGGAGCCCTGACGGGTATTTTTATAGTTAGTTTTTGGGTGAAGGCGGGGGGAGGGATAAAAATCGGAGATTTTCGGGGAGGAGGGCGATCCAAATTATAACTGGGCTTAGATGAATGCTAATTAGACGTTTGTTCATTTAGCCAGGCTAAATACCGTTCCAACGATACGGCCTCGATAACAACGGGCATAAAAGCGTGTTGAACCCCACAGATTTCAGAACATTGTCCATAAAACACACCCTCTCGTTCAATAAGAACAGACGTTTGATTCAATCTGCCTGGGACAGCATCGATTTTCAGACCCAATGACGGCACCGCGAAAGAGTGAATAACATCTGTTCCCGTTGTAAGGAATCTGATATGTGTTTGAGTAGGAACAACAATTCGTGAATCAACTTCTAAAAGTCGTAATTGTCCTTCTTCTAATTCCTCAGTAGGGACCATATATGACTCGAATTCGATAGATTCACCATCTGAGTTAACAAAATCAGAGTATTCATAAGACCAATCCATTAAAACCATTGATTAAATTAGAAGTAACGTAACCCGCTTCGGAGTTTACAAAGTATAAGAATTATGTTCATCTTTATTAGTATCATCCAAGTAAAAACGATATGATACCCCTAATTGATTCTTAAATAAAGTTTGGGTTTTTAGATGTTTCTTAATGTAAGTATGATGAATATTAAATTCCCGTTCAGCACTAACAATGCTAGGAAACCATTGTCTCTGATTAGTAGTTTCATTCACTACAATGATTGATTGAGATTTTATAGGTTTTCTATTAGTAATTTCCAATAATGTTTGTGGATGTGCAGTAAAATAAAATGATCCTTCCGCGAAGCGGGGGGTCAGGAGTAGAAACTAATTTTTCCTGACCTAAATATCTAGAAATAACTCGGTAATCTTTAAGACCTAATGCTTTAGCCGCTGCCCATGAACTAATGAAAGTATTATAAACTGACAATTTATCTGCGTTAATCGCTACAATTTTTCCAACCCCGGCCCGCGGAGCGGAGGTTAAATACGTTTAAATGACTTACTCCCCCGGGGAGTGTAAATCACCACACGCAAACAATAGGCAACTAAGAAGGCATTGGGAGATTCTAAATTTTCATCTTTACTTAAATACAGAACAATTCTTATACTATCTTCTAAAAAATACTGTTTAATGTGGACTTTCTCTTCTACCTATAATAGGATGTTTAGCATAAAGTCTCTGAGGAAACTATTTCTTCCTACTGGTGTAAGCAATATATTTTACATTATGACTATATAGTAGTAGTATATCATGAATATTACCAGTATATAGCTAAATGATTATCTAATATGGTTATTAGACGGCTTGGTTAACCATTGATGACCTAAAGTTTTGATCGTCATAGCAGGGTCAATGACTTCATCCATGAGGTACAATAACTTGAAACTAGGAAAAGCAATGGCAATTAATACTACTGCGGGAGTAATTGTCCAGATTAATTCAATTAATGTGCCGTGGTTTGAGTATTTATGAACAATCTTGTTAGCGTTAGAATTGAAGCTTAGAAGAATAGAAAATAACATATAGCCAACGCCTAATAGGATAATTACTAGATAAAACATAATTTGATTATGCAATTCAGTGATTCCCTCAAAAGAAGGAGAAGCCAAACTCAACAAATATCGGTTGATGTTTGTTGTTGGACTATTTCTTTACTTGTACTAATTAGACTATATGATATGTAAGATCTCTTATAACTAGACCCTAATTTATAAAGCATAGATGGAACCATATGTTGACTTACAATTGATCTCAACCGGGGCATTGAAGAAGATCTAATATAAAGGCCCCTCCGGGGATATTTCTTATCCCCTTTAACTCGTAAAGTACATTCTAAGTTGTATCTAATGATAAGAACGTTCATTAAAATCACTACGTCTTGAAGAGTATAGGAGTCAGTACATAAAATTAAACCATAATCTCTTGCCTCTCCGTCACCTTGGATCCAGTGTGCTAATGCTACAGGAGTTAAAAGATTAAAGATATCCGCTGGGATACACTTAATACCATTAACATAGAATTAAGTTCGTAAATCAGTTAAACAAGGTAAAGCGATTGTAATTAACGTTAAGCTAAAATTAAGGCCCCTCCGGGGATTATGCCACAATCGTGCTCTAAAGCGTGGATAGCTAAGACAATATGGGGATAAAATAATAAAGACGTGCCAAAAATAATCAAAATGAGCGAATGATTGCTCAAACATTAATCGTGCATTAGCTGTAGAACTATTCAATTGCAGATTGGCATCGGAAAGTAAAAGCCCTACAATCACAGATTTAATATAATAAGGGAAAGTAAGACCCCTCCGGGGATTGCGAACAACTTTAGTTAATCGCTTTCCTCCAACCATAGAGGATAAAGACCCTCCGGGGTTGTACAGCTGGCTTGATAGAAATCGTTAGGTGTTAAAAGGTCAAACATACTGGAGTTCCCTAAGTAGTACAAAGTTTCTGACATGTAGTCTCTGAGATATCCCATAATAAGGTTATCTACTGATTGCTCTAATAGACTATTAACTGTTAAAACTAAAATAATAGTAAGAAATAGGTTGAAAAGAGTGTTCCAGTATTTAGTCAGATTCTCGTAATATAACTGAATTCTTGATAAACAGCTCCGCTCTGCGGGGCCCCCCCAACGGGGGAGCTAATTGGATTAGGCACTTCGTTAGCACCGTCTTGAAATGTGAGTTGCCATGGTTCAGGTGCATCATTATACACTGGACCTAAACAGTAAAATAGGAACAATAGGAGATTATTGATCATAACTTAATATAAGAATTGGGATCCCTTAGGTGAAGGAAATGAGAATGAAGAACGTATAGAGAATTTGGATACGTATGGATTTCCATAAGCTTCTCGTATAGAGGAAAGAAATTAAATCAATCCCCCTTCTTTTATTACTCTCTCAAGAAAACTGCCCTCCGGGGCCCAGCGGGCTTTCTTTAATAAAAATAATGAATTCTCCATTCTGTATCCTGACTATTAAATCAGGCATGGACTCTCTCTTCATCATAAATATATGATGTTTACTTGTTGTCTCTGAGGACCCGGGCGAAGCGGCCCCTCCGGGGAGTCTGTTTTAATAAGAAAAAGGTAGAATTTGTTTCCTGCTGATTGACCCAAATTAGAATTATCACCTAAATGTGTGGTATCTAATAATAGTGGTTATTTCAGCATATAGTAAGATATACCCATTCCCCCCCCCCACGGAGTGGGAGAAAATAATGGGCATTTTTAATACCATTGTACTTATAGATCTTCGGAAATTTGATAAGAGTATAAAAGAACACCCTTAATAACCTTCCCTGTATCCAGATACTTAGCAATTGTCCGAATATCCATGTGCAGCCCTTTAACCGTGAGGTTTCTAGAGGCAAATGTTAGAATCAATTTCCTGTCGGGAGAGTAAACGAACACCTGGTTTCGATTAGGATGAGACATTCTAGCAGCGGATGATCTTTGGCTCTCTCCTTTGGCTCGAGAGATTGGTGCTGGAGATGCTAAAAGGCCCTCCGGGGTTGAATACTTGAAATAAGAACAGGATCTGGCGTGATACCAGTTAAGATAATCTGTGTAGATAAGTGGCGTTGATTCATATTAGAAACAAGACGTTTGATCATCTCTTGACCCGCTGTAGTTAAATGGTAGCTCCCTCTGTGAAGTTGCACTAAATACTGCCAATATTGATAATCTACTCCTTTAGTTGTGAAAAAGTGAAGGCTGTTAAAAAGAGGAACGATTTCATCATAAAGTACTTGCATATCGGAGATTAAGAATTTGTTCATATGATCGGTTTGTTCTCCGGATCCCGCACGGTAAACACTACCATTACCCCCCTTAGGGGGCTTTTGATTTTGAGTATGTATTAAAAAGAAAAAGGAAAAAGGCGTCCCTCCGGGGATTGCGTGAAGTGTGGGTAAAGAAACATCTTCCTGGCTAATACTAAATCTTGGCGTTGTGTCATAGTAAAAACTCCCCTCAACAAAACCAAGTAACCAATAATTTGTAATATTAAAAATATGAGTTGAAGGTAAATCATAATTAGTTCTGAAATTCTTCATAGAACGTCGGATTTCATAGATTTTTTGACTACCCTCAGGCGTCAAATGCTCCTTCATAGCCATAATCTGTGCAATTTCTTCCCGCGAAGCGGCGGCCTTAAAATATAACCATTTTTTAGTATTCAATGTAAATTGATTAAATAGAGGAATAACTACCCCGTTAATCGTACGGAAATCGCTAATATGATAAGTAGCAATACGTCCTGCTTCATTACTAATATGACCACTTCCAAATACATTATCTTTAAGCCATTCAAGTAAAGGGAGATGATCAATATGAACTCTAAGCTGGTATTTTAATAAAGCCCCTCCCCCGCGGAGCGGCCGGCCCCGGAGGGGACGAGGTTTACCGGTTAGTTTTTCCCTACCATGTGTGACCAAAAATGAACATTCCGCATCGGTATACCCACAAATCCATTGAACAAGCTCAAACGGTAAATTTACAGGTTCTGTTCCTACCCAGTTTTGTTCCATCCAAGGATTAGATTTATCCGTACCAATAGCCCCGGTGTTTTGTGAATAACCGGCCCCTTCGGGGAATAATATTGTTAATTTGCATTCGAAGATAATAGAAAAAGAATAGACCACCATTGCTAAAAATAATCGGTAGCATA